ATTCCTCCTGTGGATTTTGCTGCCTCTCAGTCCTATTGTCCTATGAGTCTAATAAAGCCCAGCTGTAACCTTTGATAATAAAGCAATGCAGAAATGTAAAATAAAGACAGCCAACAGAAGACAAAAAAAAAAAAAAAGAATGAACCTTGAACACAGATCCAGTGGCCTTTGCAATGGTTTAAACTTTTGGTTGCTTTTTGATCTGTGACAGGTCACAGGTATATATAGTGGCAACAAAATATGGTTCCTTCACCCGTTTCCCTTCATTTACCTTTTAACTTGTGAGGAAAAACTACATGAAAGGCTAAATAATGTTATATAGTACTTCAGTTCTGAAGAAAATGCAGTTTGTATTGTTTCTTAAACCCAACTGCTAGCCATGCCTATGCTCTTTGTTATAAAAAGATATTCCTGAAAGCAAGCAACAAATACCCAGAATGGAGATACATGCTGCAGTAGCTACTCCAAGTCTGAGGCTCTTCAGCACTACACAGGGGCAATTTGTTATTCTCACAAGCAGAAAAGGAGATATTCAGGGAAAATCTCCTGTTGAGGAGAGCTGTAAACATGACCTTGGACAGGGAAGGATGAACTGTACAAGGTACTATAAAGTGCAACTGCTTTAAATTTGGTGGAAGTGGGACCAGGGTAGACAGTATTAATTTACAGTCTGATATGGTGTGATGCATTGAAAAATATCAGTTATTATTCAAAATCTAAAGTCACAGTCCATAGTCAGAGTTCCTACAAAAACCCAAACAAAACACAAAAATCATATAACCTTGGTCAGCTTTAGAAAATAACAGAGGCTTGCCCTGGTTAATGTAACACAAACCACTTTAAGAAAGTTGGCTCTTAAGTAATCTTCCATTTCTAAATTCTAGTGCAGTGGCTGGTTAATTGATGTGCTAGAACTGCAAAGCTGCAAAACTCTAGCTTATGTCCCTGGCCATGTTTGTTAAAACACAAGCATCTCAAAACCCAAAAAGCATTACTGCTATCAGAAGTCACGTTACCTTTCTGATCCAGAATTGAAATTCTTTATTTCTATAGAGTCACTTAGCCTGTGCAATGTTATACTGTGAGCACACAAATACTGATAGACTCACACATTTCATTGTTTACATGAAAGAAGTCATCATGATGAATCCTGTTTTCCTTGGTATGGCTAAGCTATTTCTTCTAGTAAGGTAGAAAAGTAGCCAAATCCTCCAGACAGAAGAGATTAATGAGGTTTATAATTGGGTGTCATACAGCATTCTCCTTTTGCAGGAAATATGTAGAGTATCTGAAAGGCCAAGGCAGTTGAAGTACGGCTCGTCCTTTTCAGACCCTGATGCTCTGCCCTTGACCATGAATCACAAATTCAAGGAAAAATTGAGGCTTTGTTAACTTCAGTCCATTTGGAGCTACTTGTTCAGCTGCTGGGCTCTCCTGCACCGTCACTGCACAAAGACTACATCTTTGGCTCTCTCTTCAGTATTAAATACTCTTATATTTCACCCCACCATCTCCAATACCTAACTTGAACTCGATGGACCATCTTCTGAATGTCTGCTGTCAGTCATCTATATAAAATTTGAGATGGGCAAGTGGGAAACTTTCAGTATTGCATACAGTTAGGTGTAAAGCAGAGCTATAAATGCCTAAATTAAGGACCTCAAAAATCACCACTTTGTTCTGAAAATGCTTTCTTTAGCTTGTGAACTAAGAATTAGCTCATAATTAGCATTAGCAGCCTGGAATGTATATAGCTATCAAAGATATATACCTGGTAATAACTGGGTAGCAACTGTCTCTCAATGCAGAATAAAACTGTGGCATCAGTCACAAGGAAATAGAAACAGTATTTTTTCTTGCTCCCCTTTCCAGCATCTGAATCACTTGAAATCATGGGGATGAGGTGACAGATACTTGGCTAAAGGCCTTTTAAGTGAGAGTGAAAGAGGAAGAGCAGATTAAAAGCCTTGATAGTCTCTTGCATCGGTCAGAACTTGCAAATCACTTTGCTGTACTCCAGGTTGATCTTTACCAAACTTATGTTTGGACACAGAAATATTCTCATTCTGTTTGCTCAAGCTGATGAAGGTGAGGGCATGAATACCTGTATTCCTGTGTTTTCTTGGTACCTGACATCCGATATTGATTCACAATTGTATGGTAACTGACCTTATTTTCTTTAGGAAAGGGTTAAAAAAAGAACGACAGTTTTTCTGAAAGTATGTTCATGTATACTGCTTGTGGCAAATTCTATTTTAAAACACTTCTTTGCACACCCTCTGGCTACAGTGAAGCTGCCTAAATTATCTGAAAATTAAAGCTCATGTCCTGTCAGGCCCTGAATGCAATTTACTGTCTCTCAGGCTTGAAATAAGACCCTTCAGGTGTTTTGTCTCCAAAGATGGAAACAAAAAGCGAAGCGCACGATGCTTCTGTAGGTATCACAACTCATTAAGTGCATTCACAGCAGCTGAATGTCAGCCTGCATGGGACTCCAGACACCAACCAAGCTGACACCACCCAGTGAGAGCTGCATACTGCAGGGAGCTTCTGTGCAGCTATTTTGTGGACACTAGTAGCTATGGGCACTACTCTTCTGCCTTCAAAAGGTTTCACCAGTGAAAACAGGAATATGTTCCATGGCATTTCTCAATAGGCAAGCCTAACTGATACTACCCTGATGCAAGTGCAGGATACTGAGAAGTCAGTCTTGCTGCAGAGGTGCAAAGAATCCTTTAACTTCTCTCCTTTAGCAGCGGTTAATGTCTTATTGTTTAGCAGGACAGCACAGCTGAAAATTCAAATACATCATTGGCTTATGTATGCAAGAGCTTTACTCAGGTTACTTTATCATCTGGAAAATGAACTTACTGGTAAATGCAGAAACTGATATGACATGTCATATTTATTAAACTAGAGATTGAAAATTTGAGAGCAAATGGTCTATTGAAAACTGGATAGTCTTTGGTGCCCCTCATGGGAAAAATCAGCTGCCAGCCTGATGGCTGGAAAATAAGATTTGCTGAGAGTTCAGCCGGAAATAAAACAACTATTGAGAATAAAATAGTTGCATAGCATCAGGGAATATGTCAATACAGCAATGTTACTGCAATAATACACTGAGCTGGTATGAATATTCTGTCTTCATTCATGCAGGCTTCAATTTTATCTGCCAATGCCTATGTTTCACTGGCTGGTGAAGCCTTGCTGATCAAGAGGGCAGAAGTCACCTCGTGGTATCCACTTGGCAGTTCCTAGCTTGGCATAACTAAATCCAAAGCAGAGTACAAAACCTCAGGCATCTGGAATTGCCTTTTAAATAGACATGGCTTCTCAGCCTGAATAACACACAGCTGCTTCTCTTCCACAGCAACTGGCTCTAGCTCTCACAGAATTAAGGAGTAAGTAGAAAGCAGCAACTACTGAGTCCTGAATTCTGCACTTTAATTCTTTCATATAGGGAATTTTCCCTGTTACACTGGCTCCCTTGTTCTCGATCAGTGCTTTCTTCTTATCTCCTATGTGCTTGATGATTAATTATAGAATATAACCAAGCAGACGACTGGAGATCAGGTAAGTGATGGGATGGCTTGCAGCAAATTGTCATCAGATGGAACCAAGAGTTTTCTCCTCTCTTCTCCAGGCTGAAACTGAATTATTGCATTACAAGGACCCAGCAAAAGAAACTCTGCAACTGCTGTTTTAATACTGTGATGGGGTCCCTCTACTGAATCTTGCAAATTCAGTAAAACAGCTTGTGGTCCCCAGCAGTGTGTCCCATTTTTTTGCCCATGGTTGAGGGAAAATAAGATGCACAGGCAAATGTTAAATGCTACAGCTTAAAACTTTTGACTGTTACAATAAAAAAACCCCACTTGTCTATAACTACACTGCATATCACTATATATTTATCAGATACATATCCATAGATACACAGACTACACATTAATATGTAAGATGGATATAACTACCAACTGATGGTAGCTTACGCTGCTGTGCTACAAGAGATGAGCACTAGAGCTGATGCAATGCATGCATGCTGCTCTTCCAAAGGGGCTGATAACTTCCATCAAATGAAAGAAACAAGACAGTTTGCCAATAGTTATTCCTTAAACTACAGATGTTCACCAGCAGGAGCCCTTAGAAATCAGTACATGTTTTTTCCCCTGGCAAAAGAATAAGTCGAGATACGAATCTAAGTACTGCATTCTGTTTACAAAAAAATGTAATGTTTTCTTACAGAATATAAAAAATGGCCTAACATATGACACAGAAAGTAATGTTTTAAGTATTAGAAACATTTTAAAGCTATCATTAGATTCCTCAATTATTGACAAACCTGACCATAAAACAGGTGACATTTTGACATGTATTGACACTCACATATTCAACAACGGAGCCCAAACACATAAACCAGTAAACTGACCAGCTGTTTGCTTCTGAGTACAATAAATTTAAGCTTTCACTGAGATTTAAGTCTCATGTAGGTTACCCGGCATTTGAATTTGGTTACCACAACACAACCGATGCATATGGATTTGTTCAGCTTAAGTTCCTAAGCCTTCACTTCAGTTGAAACTTCATAGCAATTTTTTTTCTTAAAAAACCCCAAAACAATGAATATACTGGTTTGTCTGTGGTTTGTAACACGTAACTCTGAAACCTGTAAGCTTTGCATAAACCACACACACACAGTGGTGTAAACGTGAAAAGCTTTCTCTCCACTCTTTCAGTCTCCTTTTGGAATATAATGGAATGAAAAATTACAGGGCAAACTCAAACATCTGGATTTAGTTTCTCAAGAGGAGTCCGCTAATTATATGTAAGATAGTATTCTACACAATTAGCTTCTCCCCTTAATCAGTTTGCTTATTCATGAAAGCTGCTACTTTCCCTGTTTGTCTGTAACTACCTGTCTGTTTAAAAAAAAACCGAAAAGCAGCACTGAAATTCCTTTTATGATAGCACTGGTGCTACAATACTTAATGCTGGGAAGAGCTTTGATGTATTTCTAATAAACAGATGTTAAAATGGAGGAGTACTGTGCAGCTCTCCTGCTGCACATTAACTTGGTGACAGACGCGTGAACATGGCGTGGGGTGCACAGCGTGTCACCCTTGGCACCTTGAGCCTGTATAATTGGTAAGGGAAAGCCTGTTGCGATGCATGAGCACTCAAGAATATGAAGATATAAAAGACCATGTGTCTTGACGTGTGACCTGTTAACATTAGTTAACAGGAATGATGCAGCTAATGAGAGCTGGTGTTTGGAAATGTATTGCTAAAGGCACCTTGGTCTGTCCCAGCTGAGGCAGCTTGAAGAGGAAGCTGAACCAAATAGTGTAACTACTGCTGCAAGCACTGACTGCTCCTTTCCTGATACAAACCAACAAGTAAGTACAAGACTATTCAGGGTAATTTTTCATGACGGTGAGCTAGGGAGCTTCCACAGTGCTGTCTGAGAAATTGCTTTGTCTCATCAGTACCTTGTACACTCATGCAACAACCCTGCTTCAGCCACGCAGCGCTGGGCATGATTTTACCCCGAATAACAGCAACTTAAATGAGGGTGCTTGCAACTCTTGTTAAGTAAGACATCACTTGACTTCCAAGCTCACTCCAAGACATGAACAGATGCCGCCACTGCCAGTCTCCTCAGAGAATGTCCCACATCCCCTAATGCTGCTTTCAACTCAGGGCACACAACCTCACCAACTTGTGCAGGGTTTGCACACAGACGTGTTCACGAGGGCAGTGCTGTGACCCGCACATGGAGTGGGCAGCAGCTGCTGTAAGTGAAGGAGCTTGTGCCCTCCCAAGGGAGCCCCCTCTGTCCAGCACTCTCATAGAGCAGGCATCAGGATGAAATCAGTCTGGAAAACCTTGCAGCTAAGAGGCAGATGACCAAACACAAATCACGTGTCTACCAGCAGCTGGCATTAGCCAGAGAAAAGCATTTTAACTGACTGCAACTTCTGTGTCATCACAGAAGACCTAAGGAAGAGCTCAACTGGGAAGTGGAGACAATTAGAAAAAAAAAAAAGAAAGCAAGAGAAAGGTAATTTGGCAACTGCTGTGCTCTACACGCTGCCTTGGAAAACCCCAGAAGTCTGCACTGTGGTGTGTCTGAGCTCAGAGACACTACCCACTATTCTAAGAAAAACCCTCACTGAAGCACAGCCTATTTGCTGTTACTCCTGCTAAGCAAGGCAAGGTTCCCTTGAGCAGCTCACTCCTCACACAACCTGCCCCTCTACACACTGCTCACAAATGAGAGAATGCTCGCCCCTGACAGAGCAAACTTTTGCTGCAATGGATAAATGCAGTAATTTAGCACCCAGATAAATTATGTTGGGAATTCTGCACTGTATGGAGGCTGACACATCCCACAGACAAAGGGATGTGTGCTATAAATGCACCAGTTTTCTGTGTCAGGAGTCTGTGTCTTCACTTAGTGCAGTGATCTCAGGGTTGAACTGTAGGGTCATCTAAACAGATCTACCATTGAACCAAAATGTTTAGCTCTTGACAGCCTTAGCTGGCAATGGCAGCAAGACTGGCATTTGGAGCAGTATCTCTACTTATATATAGGAAGGAGCATTTTTTCCTCAAGTGCCTAATAGCAATGAAATAACAATGGCAAGCAGCATTAGGCACACTTCTTCAGCTGACAGTAATTAACCAAGCATGCCCAATTTTCTAAACTCAGAACCAGTTCCTTAATTGCTTGGGCAAAATTCTTCAGCTGAGTCTCTCCTCTCTGCTATACAAATTTTACATTCAGTTACATAGCCACAAAACAGGACTGTTGGAAGGAGTTACCACTTATAATCAAAAACACATCAATATGACTAATCACATCAGCTCTCTTACATATTGGGAGTCTAATAGCTTCTATTTACAGCCTTTAAATAAAACGGCTTCTCTACACATCTTTCACTAAGCAATATAACTTATTTCCATTTTTTGAAGAAGAAGCTTTAATACCCACCTGATGCTTCAAAGCCATGAGGCAGAACTTACGATCACACTTAGCAGAACACATTTGCATGCTGCCCAGTTAGTCTGGGAAAGCTCAAGTGCAGTCTTTCAGATCCCATAAAGACTAAAAAAAAACCTCCAAAGTTATATTTCTTAATAGAACTATGCCTTTTTTTGTGCTCTGACCCACTATCAACAAGGGTGAAAAAGTGCTTCTGCTGTAATAGTAGGTTCATCATACTTGTACAGGCATGACTGGTCTGTGGAAGGAGGTAGGACATTTTTCTTCCAACTCTATGAAACAGCATGTCTTCAATGACTGGGAGGTTTTTCCCAGGGGTTTACACTGTGAGGGTACTTTCGTGCATGGCTGCTGCTCATACTACATGTTCCACTCTTATTCCAGTTGTTAATGGACTTTCTTTATCTTTCCATCTTCTGGAATCCTTCTATAGATCATCTACTGGAGGATGGATTCACATGACTAAGTATTTGACATGTTTTGATCTCTTGGTCAGCCTGGGAACCTGTTTCCCACTTTCCCACTGATCCCAAAGAGCAAGATGTTTCTACGTGTGACGCCACTAGTCCAACTGCCATTCACTGCAGTAGAGCTCCTCCAGAAAACCTCAGCCATCACCAATGGCCATGGGAGCTCAGCTACAGTAGCTATCTGACCTGGCTGTGACACACAAATTGGAAGTCCAGTTCCTTAGAGCTGGTGGCACATGGTAATTTCAGTCATACCGATGTCTACTGAGCTTGTGCACTGAAGCAGTTCCAGGCTCAGGCCCTTGAACCAACCTGAATCTTTAGAGCTCGTGTATTTTTCTGCTCTGTCTGTTGACAAGCAATCCTAAGAATCTGTCACTAGTAGGCAAAAATAGAAACAGGACAGGAAAAGCTATGGACCTCAAAAGTGTTTCTGGAATTTCAGTGCGGACAAATCTCTCATGATGAGCTTATGAAAGAGCTGCCCTTGCAAGTACTATGGAGAGCTTCTGGGAAAAAAAATCCTGCATTCACAAAGCCTACTGCAGTAATTAAAAATTACTCTGCAGAGCACAGTGACGGTAATGTGAGAAGTTCACGATCTATCAGAACTGGAGTAAGCTGGTAAATGCCCAAAACACTGAAGAAAATAGTTCAGAAAAGGCTTTGAGATTGAAGTACTATTCTCAGCACAATTTATAAAGCAGAAAGCTTTCCCCTTCATGGGTCTCTAACAACACTGACAGATTTCAAGAGAGTCTGCAGCTGTAGAGAACATAACCTTGGCCTGGCACAGCACACAAGAGAAAACCTCAGGGTGTGTGTTGGTAGATTACATGAGAGCTGGGTCTCCCCAGACAATGGCCAATCCAGTGGAGAAATATGTCTCCCTCCATTACATGCTGTAGGAAACACAAATTAGCGCCAGAGCTGCTGGCCTCTAAGCCACATGAAAGGAGCTCAAGCTTAAGTCTAGGAAATTAATAGACAGAAGAGATGCCACACAAGCTCATTCAGTTCTGCCTTTGATGCTGGCCAGTTGTAGCTGTTTAAGGAAAAAGAATAGGAAATAAAGACCGGAAGAAATCTCCTAATTCAGCTATGAATGGATTGAGTTGCTTCATTTTCACTGTGAAATAAGACAGAGTACATTATCTCACTTTCCCAGGTTGTGACAAGGGGGTGGGGATGGTTAAAAATACTTCAGGCTGGTGAACTGTAAGGTTTCCTTTGATGTAAATTAGTTACCCTTTACGCACAGGCCATGTGCAACTCAGTCCAAAAGACTCTATGCAAAAATGGAGGGTAGAGAGAAATTCTGTCAGCCCTTCATTACTCCACTGTAAATTTGTGAATGTGGGGAGAAGAGAGTTACAAAGCATCAAGCATCCATATACTCTGTGGATGTACACAGCACTGGGGATAAAGAGAAAACCTGTGTGGGGAACGAATTTTTTCATTTTTATTATAGATTTATTATTTTTATTTATATTAGGTTCAATTTTAGGACTCTCAGCAGTTGTATCCTAAAGCAATTGCAGCATTTCCCATTTACTTTTCTACTGTGAGGAAGGACTTTTTCTCCAAGAAACTTATTTTCTAGGTTCTCCTTGGCTTTTGTCCTGCTCATGCAGGTACTGAGGGGATAAGCTGTGATAGCCCTGAGGGCACTGCCAGCCCTGACCATCCTGCCCACCCTCTGGAGCTCCACCCACCTTGCCCATGGTCCCAGACCCCAAGTCAGCCCTCTGGGGCCGTAAGTCCTGCCCAGCAGTGGTATCAAAGCATGCCAAGCGAGGCAGCAGGGAACCACTATTCTCAGTGGATGAAGGATGCCCAGGGACAGGCTGCCATCCCACCGCACATGTGACAAATGCAGTTTTTCATTTTCCTGATGCACTGGTTACCAGATATTTTTATCATTTTGAAAAAAGAGAAGAAAAGCAGGTCTCCAATATCCCCTTGTGTGGAAGCTGACTTGAAATGAAAAGTAGTGAGAATCAAATAAAGTAACTCTAGCCCTTACGATATCCAGCCTGAGCTAATGACAGCCTATTTTCTTGATACTCCAGTACTGTGACCACACTCCCTCTTCCAGATAAGATCAACAGAGTTTCATAAGAAATGACAACTCACCTTTCTTGAACTGCTATTGCTGTTAGCATTAGGGAGAGGAGATAATTTTCTGTTTGAGATGAAAGGCAGAGAGTTGAACAAAGGTTTCTTACCGTTAAGGACAATGCCATGCAAACAAAAGTGAACTTCTTGATATGTGTTGCTGTGACAGTACTGTTGGTGTTCACCAATTTATTGCTGGGGTTATTCTAGGTTAAGAGAAAGAGATAATGAGCATTAGTTTGGCTCCAGACTGCTGTGAGGCTGATGGCACCAGGGTCATGTGCTGGACCTGACTGTCTGTGCCTGTGCATGCCTGCCTTTGTTTGCTTTTTAACCTAGAGCTTTCTGAGTACTTTGCACCGCTAAGGCATATTTTCTGCTTAAGCTGACAGCAACTGCTCCTATAGTCAGAGAGGGCTGAGTAATGTCCCTACTTTTCTAAGAAATAAGTCCTATTTAACAAATTCAGCTTTGAAAAAGGGTAGTAGCTCTTTCTGAGGAAACTCCACATGATTTTCTTTTTTACCTTAAAGTTTGTAGCATGTTTTCACAGGAAAAATAGGACTTCATTCCCTTTTACCACAGAGTGGTATCAAACCCATACACCAATGAAAGCACCCTTACTGATTCAATTAGACAAGTAGGTAATACAAACAAAGCTCCTGGAACAGCTGGCTCCATTAATGCCATTTAATGAACAGAACATAGTTAGGACTATTAGGTGTTCCACCTTGAACATGGGCTCTGTACTCACATGGCAGTGAAGTTTTATTTAAAACAACAAAAGCCCTCTTCCAAATGTCTAATATTGCAAATGAAGCTGAAGATTTAAAATTGCCCTCAGGGAACACACATAAAAACAAACTAAATGGTCTGTGAAAGGAGAGGATGGGTATCAAAAGCAGGGCACCATTAGGATCCCTGTAGTAATAATCTGCACTCACCCTGGAGCTGTTTGAGATACACAAGTATGCGCCCACGCTGATAAAACCTGTACCATGAGATGCAGTACAACATTTATTCATCCTTGATGCAACTCAGGTAGAACAACAGTATCTTGTCACACGATCAGCCTCCTTTACTGAAATTACTTTTAAGAGAAAGAGGAGCTCATGCCAACACATCTTGGGAGTGGACAAACCAAACGTGAGCTCTGTGAAGGGTATGCCATTTCACACACATTCAAGAAGCTGATGGAATTGTGCAATTTAAAGCTTTTGTGCTGACCACAATCCCGCCATCCAAAGGGGTTGTGAAGAAAAGGGCGTCTTGTTCATTCCCACCCTGCTGCTGCTAACTGTGCTCTTGCTCTACTCCACCCGTTGCTCCAACTCTTGACCACATACTCTTTGTTCCTCTCTCTTGCACACTGTTTAACACTTGGATCAAAACACTATGCAGATTATGTAGCAAAAAGAGTATCCATTCCCGTCTATTAAGTGTTTATAAGTCCTCTCTCAGCCAGTGGTGTTGCTCTGAATCAGACAGCACAGTCTGAGTAATGACTTTATCACCATGTAAAACAGCAGTCAGAGCACAGAACTAGGATATTCCTGTTTTCTTTCAGAAAATCAATAGTAAGCCTTTACGTGAGTGTACCTGCTAAACCATGAGGTTGCTCTGGATACAGAGTCTCATAAAAGACTGAAACAGGACCATGCATCTCTGTTATGAATGTGAACAGACGGTAATGATTTCCCTGTGAAGATAAGAATCTGACTTCTCCAGCAGAGCCACTGAAGAGGGGCATGCTATCAGTCTGTTGAGGCAATGCAGTGTGCTACCAATGGCCATCAGCCTTGCCAGCTTTCTGAGTAACTGACAAAAGAAAATGAGAGTTTGCATGCATGCAAACTGTTTCAACATCTGAAAATCACAGTAAAGAAGGCTTTACAGAGCCTGGAAATTAAGAGTGTTTCTACCTGGACTCTTCTGAGAAAGCCTCAGCTTAAGGAAATAAAGGTTTTGAAAGGCATGGTGACATGAGAATGGCGTGTGACCGAGGGTAAAGCAATTCTCACAGCTATCTAAAAAACCCACTGTGGTTTCTGGTTTGGTATTTATTGTCTGAAAGGTACGGTGGAGGCATTTGCACACATGGTTGCCAGAATGAGATACCCTTTATACTGCTGCTACCTCACTTGGCACATTTTTATGCCAATTTGCTCTTAAAACATATAATCCCCACTGTGTATTTTTTCGGCAGTTAGATAAATGGTATCTACTTGTGCCTTACTCCACCTTTTTCTTCCTCACATTTGTTCCACAAGAGCACGATGAGAAGCCTTTTAACTGAAATAGACAGACAAATCATGGTCTAATCCTGACACCACTAAAGCTGTCAGCACATCTTCCACCAGCTAAACAAGACCTGAATTTAGGAGTCTTAATTGCTGTTAATTTTACTTGGCAATAGTGCATTTGATTGTGGCTCATAACGGATGAGGTTAGCAGCCCCTGTGTTTCCTGTCAAAAACCACTTTTATCTTTCAATTCATTGGTTTTGCATCTGCAGTTCCTTTTCAGCAACATGATCTGGCTGCATGTTGTATTTTATCTCATAGGTCAATTTAGCTGTACACAGGCAGACTAAGAAGCAATGACTGATTTGATTTTCCTTTGGTTTAGTTTTAAATTCTTGGAAATATGGTGGATGATTTCAAACAGGGCTTGTTTCAGCTAAGTACATCCTGGAGCAAGCAAACATTTTCGTCATCAGTATTTGGAGCTAGAAAGTTCAGTTACTAATTGGTAAATAAAGGGAAGGAGAGGATTTGGTAGTTGAATTAAGTGTCACAGGACATGACTGTTCTTTGCACAACATATGGGCTTGTGAATACCAGTTCTAAAACAGAGCAAAAAAAGACCCTAAACAAAATTCATTTTGATTATGTATTTACTCTGTGCTCAGTTCCAGGAGCAAGCCCTGTGTTCTCACATAATTACATGATCAGTGCTATTAAAATAATGCATGTTATCTGTGTTACTGTCAGTCTATGAAACAACCTTTGCTAAATGTTAACATAAGCAAATGAACCTAAACCCGCGAGAGATACCACAGAATCAGGAGCAGAGATGAGAGCTTGCTTACTTACTAATGGACACTTTGTGAGAAGTCACTTCATTAGCTAAGCAGCTACATCATGGTAAGTAAGTGAGGACTTTTTTTAATCCTTAAAAACACAGCACGTATGTAGTCAGAAGATAGCTCAATACCTTCTAACACAGAGCTAAGGTTAAAATCATAAATTTTTTCAAGACAAGAGCTTGAAGCCACCTAACCCAATATTTTAACTAGGCTTTTTAAACCTTATCAGTGGGACAAGGAACAATAGGTATCAAAAGCAACAGTAAAGAGAAACCAGAGAAGACAATAGATGTCCATTAACACAGCCCTAGTTAATCTTTGGTTGGTTTATTTTTTAAAGAATCTGTTACGCTTTGCTATGGAGCCATGAACTAACTTTCTTAATATTTGTTTGGCAGAAATCCCTCTGACATCACTGAAGACACCTTAGATAAGAATGTTGTAACATGGAAAGATGAGGAGCACGCATGCAAAACCACACAAGAGGTATTTATTACACCCCTAACCTAGGCACTCACCTTGTCAAAAGCAGGGTATACTGCTCTGATCTCTGTCAGCCAGCCATAAGGCATGTGTCCCACAGGATACGTAGCTGTTAGGATTGCCACCGCCTATGAAAAGAGACAGGGAAACATGAACACCCAGTCTTTGACAGAACAATTAAACTAACACAGGTTGCCACTTCCTACCAAGATCATCACCAAATTGACCTTGATACAGTGAGAAACCATGCAGGTGACTGGAAGCTCTTTGTTTCAGGAAGACTGTCCCAGTGGCCACATTTGGCCTGGTATTTTAAGCTTATGAACACTTTTGTGCCATGAAGCTATGGTACTCAGCTTTGTCGTTTCATCATCCCTCTGATACTTTGGGATTATAGTTAACTTGAATTGCTATGTGCCCCTCAGCCAGCTAAATACCTCCCTCACTGCACCTGAGTTATTTTACCTACAGATGTCAAGAGTAGCAGAATGCCTTACATTGCTTCAGATGCTTCAGATGAAACGTCATAATTTTAATTTATATATATTTAACTTGGCTATTAATAAGTAAAACCAGGTTTAAGACAGATAGACTACAGAAGAGTAGGCCTCGGTGACTGACTGTCTTCGGACATCAAACTGCTCTGGGGCAAGACACAAAAAAACTACCCTCTCCTCATTTTGGTGCTCATCAACAAACCAAAACAAAAATCACTCCAGATGTCCATTTTTCCCATGAGAAACAACACACTGCCTGCAATTTCAAACAAGTCCCTTTTTTGCTTTCACACCTACAGACCCAAGAGGTATGTCAAAGACACAACCCCACATGCACATATTAGGTGTTTAGGGAGCTCTTCCTGCAGATGTTTTTACACATGTAAAAAGCATTACACTTCATAGAATCACAGAATCATAGAACAGTTAGGGCTGGAAAGGACTTTAAGATCATCAGGTTCCAACCCCTCTGCCATGGGCAGGGACACCTCACACTAAACCATGCCACCCAAGGCTCTGTCCAACCTGGCCTTGAACACCGCCGGGGATGGAGCATTCACAACCTCCCTGGGCAACCCATTCTGGTGCTTCATCACCCTCACAGTAAAGAACTTCTTCCTTATATCCAATCTGAACTTCCTCTGTTTAAATTTTAACCCATTACCCCTTCTCCTATCACTACAGTCCCTAGTAAAGAGTCCCTCTCCAGTATCCTTGTAGGCCCCCTTCAGATACTGGAAGGCTGCTTCCTAAATTCTGTCTCCACAGCTGTTTATCTGCAGCCACTGGCAACTTCCGAGCAAGTGAAACACACAGTATCAGGTATGACAAGTTAGCAGTGCTGACAGAATGTTTGTTAGGCATCAGCTGTTTGAATTTTCCTTTCCATTTAGTATCTTACAGCTTTGTCTTTCCTACAGAAAAACTGACATCAAAGGTCCTTCCACCTCTTAAGAGAACAGGTCAGTTCATGGTGATCATTGGTGAAGGCTCTGCACCACAATCACAAGCCTGGCTCCCATCAGCTGCAGGAGACTATGGGAGTGATCTGAAATTCCTCAGGAGAAACAGGGTGCATTTCATATCCCAGCCAGGAGAGATATTTTTTTCAATGTGCTTCAAGACTGTTTCAAGCTTCAAGGATAGAGAGAGCACTAAACAGAAATGTATTTAAGACAACTTTTTGCTTGTCAGTATGGCTATGAAGAGAAATGCCAAGGTAACTCCATGTGAGTGACCATTTGCAGTAATGGAGAGCACTTTTCTTACCTCTGTGGCTGCAGAACTGCCGCCTAGGTCCCGGGAAACAAAAAGGTTGACAATGGGCCTACTTATTCGCTGAGTTGCCAAAATTAATGCCAAAGGCCACCAGAAACTCAGCATCTTCCTTATTGTAGCCTCTCCCTGCAACACATATGAAGAAATAAATAAGCAGAAGTGGGTTTGAAAAAATTCATGCAGAACTGAAACAAAAGCACAGAGAAAGGATTTTTGCTTTCACCACCCATTGTCAGTTTGGTACATTCATTTCAACAGTTTTCATGATGAGCCTAAAATATTTTTCACTCATGTTAGTAATACTGATTCAAAAGAAGCTGTGTCATGGATCTCAATAAATAATGCATAAGGTCCCTATCTGCATAATTTGTTCTGGCTACCAGACAAAGATGTGAAAACCAATATGACATTTGAGGAAAAAGAGTAATTTTGAGACTTTCTTCCCTCTGATATAAGGGAAGTTCATGCTGTACTGTTCATGCTGTACTGGCTTACAGCTCAGTATAGAGATGTTCAGTAGGCAGCACATCCATACCATGGGAAGCATTGCCTCATGTGCACTGTCAGGGATAGTTTTCACCATGTCTCTTTAAGTGAAAACGTTTTTTCCTGCAGGATGGAGAGAGGAGGCCCTTCAAGGCACACTGGTTTTAATACAGTATTATAACACAAAGCGCAAGTTTTAGATTATTCAAAAAAGTGCAAAGTACTGAGACATACCCCCATTTCAGGCCCACTTCTGTCAGGAATGACATTATGTATGTTCCTGTAGTATCCGAGGCATAACGTGGTACATCGGACAAGTGCTCCCATGTATAAGGACAAGATGGGGATCAAGAGAGGCTCCCTGCACTCCAAGTGACTGTGAAGCAAAATGGCTACAAAAACAACCTGCAGGGCAAACAAATAAATGATTAGTAATCTCTCCGTGTGTTTCTTTAGGGCCAGCATTACCTCTTGTCTGACTCCCAGATACTACAGTATCTATCTGGCTTTGACCTTATGGCATTTGAAACTTCAGTCAGGACACCCCTGCATTCCGTCATACAAATGAAAAGAACAATAGTTAACATCATACAGAAGCTCTATTAAACCGTACTTGAAGGTATGGGTAGGTGTCAGACTAGGAGCCATAAATAGGTTAGCATGAAAGTCTGGCAAGGTCCATCAGGAACCATGTGGCTGTCACACTTCCCAGGAGAATGTGCTATTCTGATATACACTGAGGCTGGAAACATGCTTCTGGTGTCAGCTTGTAAGCACTACTTTTTTTTTATTTACAGGTTGTGGGGCAGTGGCAATTAAAAAGTCAGCTATTTTAAAGTATCCATTCCAGCATTAAGAAGCAAGACGTCTTACGTCATCCTACTTTTCTACTTTTTTTGAGTGAGATTTCAGTATTTCATCATTCTCTTCTCAGCTACCTGAGCACACTGATGTAAATGAAATGGAAACTTTTGAGCTAATGAACAGCTCATAATTCAGTCTCCTAAGATTAAATTCCCAGTCCAAAAAATGCAAAGGAATTAATATGACATTATTCTCTTCATTAAGTACGGAGCTGATGGTGTGCCTGTTGAATTCCAGATGTCTCTGGATTGGGGGCACAACTGGAAAGCCAACTGTGTTTTGTCCTGTGAACAGCAGAATCAAGGACAACCCTGCTGTGACATGCTGGCATGCCAAGAAGTACAAAACACATTCTTCAGAAGCAGGTTCTCTCTCCTTCATTGCTAAAGCTCAAGAAATACTTAAGAAAAATCACACTGTGCAAATGTTTATTAGGCAGGCCATGCTGCTCATGAGGGTTTGCAAAACTGCTGTTCTGAACCCTACAAAGGAATTGTTTTTTCAGTAAACAGGAGCAAAGGCAGTCACAAAAAGTGTGCATATAAAGCGAGCCAAAGAGAATCAGCTACTGCCTGCGCATCTATTGCTTGTGTAGGGAGAGCATGTAGGTGTAGGGAGTTCTGGGGTATGGAGAGTCACAGCTTCTTGTCTTCTGGATTTGCTCTTGCTCTGTGCAGTATTTTGTTAAGCGAAGATGACAGGTGTCTTATTCTGCACAGTCCTGGCACCCCACTCACCAACCACTGTTGAAAGGGCATGTGTGCCATGGCCAAAGTAAGAATTGGTTTTCTGTTTTTAGCTGTATATGACCTGACATGCATCTAGGGTCAGCAAACTTTGCATGGTTGCATCAGAACAAGAGCATATCCTGAGGGCTAAGGTCATGTGCAGTAATTAGGATTGTCGTCTGGGATTTAGTCCAGTATTGTAGAGGGGCAGACATGCAAAACACGAAACAGCAGCTGACTGAATGGTTCAACCTGGTTTATGGTTTGCTCATATTTAGTGGGAGGAAAATGCTATGGAAAATGGAACTACATGCTGTTGACTTCATATTTCCTTTGATGCTGTACTGTTATTAGCCTCTTTCTTACCCAGTCATTACACCATTAAGCTGGTAATGGGACAGTACAGAAACTGTTTTACAAGTGCTGGGACTCTCCATTTAGCAGTATTTTTATATATGCTTTAAAAAGAGGGTGGTGTATTGGTTCTCAACTGCTGCAACACTGGCCAGCAGCAATGTGTATGAATGCTGCTTTTAAGTGTATCTAGTACAAAGCAACAAGATAATTAATACCTCCCCCACAAATAAAAGTTGAAGCAACATTTGGTCTTCTCTGCATCACCCAGGATCTATCAGCACAGATCTCTTCTGCTGCAGTTCTGAGCCTTCACTTTTTGGACCATTAGCAAGGACAGTGTCATAGTGGCACTTGGAAGATGGCTTACACTACTGTATTTCACTGGATCAGACAGCATGGGCAAAACTGACAAGTGAACTGGAGAATCAAGCCTTCATTCACCTCCCTATCTACAAGCCCCACTCAGGATTTCAGTGCAACTGTGTGATGCATGTCACACATGAGAATGCACAACATGTTTCTGCCATTCTGAAGCATGGTTGTGGAGGCGCTGTAAGACACAGCCCTAGCCCAAAGGATCCTGGTTCCCATCTCCTGACATTGGTTTGGGACTGAGCTGATCCAGCCAAGTGAGACCAGCCTAAACCACAGCTGTCAGTAAACAGCCTCCACATGATGGAGCAAGCAGTCAGAGAACAAACCACAAGATTACTTCCTCTGGCTTGTTGTTCAGGATAGAGAAAGAAGGCAGTCTCTGTGCAAAGGAGTCGGTAGTCTGTAACACAACAGAAACAGTGACTGCTAAGTGGAGTCATTACCTGAGCTATGACATCTGAGATGGAGGCACATCCCACTAGGAAACTGTACTTGTGTTTCAGCAGAATCCCAGCATGGGTCCATGCCTAAAAATACACAGAGGAGAGTTTGGGAAATGATTATGATATTTGTGAATGATTTCAGGTCCCAGAATACTGTTTACTGGTTGTTACATTGTACACAAAGAACTTTTAAAGCTATTTTCTACCAGCAGCATTTGGTGTGAACCTGGCCAAATGTTAAGCTAATAATACATAGAAAGCACTGCTGCATTCACTTCCTTACAGCCAGGGCTGACAGGGAGAACGGGAGTAACTTTATAGACTTCACAGAGATTTCTGAGCAGATCTAATAAGAAACTGCTCCTTATTCATGAAACAGGTGCTGCACAGGATGGCTTATCATAATAAATAATTCAAGGGAAAAAAATATTATCCTTCACCAGCTGGATGCACCTCTGAAGTGTAAACCTCATTGGCCCACTGAGATATACTGAGTCCTGTGTGTGTATACATATATATATATATATATATATGAAGAAAAAACTTAATGATCCAACTTCTTATGGTCAGAGACTGTTTCAAGCAGACAACGTGGTGGAGGTGTGCTGTGAGAAGGCTGTTCTTTACCAGTTTTACACAGAAGTAGAGTCATTAAAGACAGCTGCTGTATTTCTATGTGCAGGCCACAAGCAGTAAGCCTGGTGATCTGGAAATCAGCAGCCCACCCCACGTGTGGGTGCTCTTTCTCACGCTTTTGAGATATATCGGACTTAGCTGTGCTTGTAAATATGATCATAAAAAATATATTTTCAACAAATGCGCTTTGAGAAAATACTGAGCTTATTCCCTGAGCTCTGCAAGTGCTTTCCAGCATGCACATAACAGTAACTCTAACAGGACAACTGAGGTTTTTACTTTTGTTATGAGCTCTGTATGCCCAACCAGATGATTCTTCCAGGCAGCAGGGGACAATGTGTCCAGATATATCCAGAGCTACTGCTTGCAAAGGACACACCTCCCTTCTGCCCACCTGCAGCCTCGCACCAGGTAACAGACTTCGTGAACCAAGGTCACCAAAGAAAAAATAACCTGAATATTAAAATTCAGCTCTGTATCAGGCACTCACCATGGCATCCATAAAAGGGAAGGCAGCAAGATAAAGGAAGGCCCTCCGAGTTTTACTTCCCACTGATTCATCCACATGGTGCAGCTTATTAATAATGTAATACCCCAAATCACTATATGCTGTAGAGACACAATAAGAGAAATGAATAATAAAGGTTACATATGGGCTCTGGGTGAGCTACTCACAATTACCTGAAAGGCTGTGAAGCCTAGGACATGCATCTTGGTAAACAGCTGCAGGGGCTTCAGGGTATTAAGGTCTCACCAGCTGCTGTTTATGACTAAGGAATACTCTCACGGTTCTTTTTCAAGTAACCTTTGGCAGAAGAGTGATAACAAATGGCTGTGTTGGGACATGGGTATATTAAGTGCCACATCTGTTTGCTAAATGAACACACTGGTACTCCAGAAAATCTACTGGTCCTTCATTAACTCAAGGCTCTTCGTTAGAAAAGCTGTTTTCACTAGACATTGTGTATTTCATGGGATGTAGTAACTTATAAATACCAACACTATCTATTGGCACTGCATTCATATGACATTATCTGTAAACCTGCCCAAAGCTGTAAAAGAATACTCTGAATTGTGAAAGGATGCAAAAATCACACTCATTAAGCCTCTGCCTTACTCTGCCTAATGATCACCTCTACTGGGACCTGTCAGGGCACTGCACCCTGTACAGTCTCTGGGCAGCCCTGACCAGCCTTATTTTCCTTCCTTATCTACAGCCCACATCTCAGAAGCCACAGTCAGAAGAGGGAACCACTGGATGTCAGGGGTTTGCCACTTCCGACTGCCAGTATGTTATTTCACTGTCCTGTTTCAACCCAAGACAAGAATTTTTACTGTTGGGCAACACATCTCTTGCCAGGTCTCTCTTCCCAAGGCGTTGGGTTAAAGACAGCACAGATGCAAGGATTCACCACACAACTCTCCGAAGAACTCCTCATACCTCTACGGGTACCCATGTTATCCAGCTGTTTTAGTGATCCCAGAGTCCTCCCAGTGACCAGGAATAATGAAGAGCTAGCTATGACTGCAGTCTCTGAACTATGGGAACTTATATGCACAGTTAAAAATAATACAAATAGTTTTTAATCTTTTATAAACTATGTTCTAGATCTGCATATCGTTACTTAGTTTCCTCTATACACTTGCAATAGCTATTGAAAGAGTGACTAGTTCATAAAGTCGACATTCCAACACAAATAATGGCAGCATTACTTGTGAATAGGGAACTTTACCTCAATTCTCTTCCACTAGTGTCTTTTCTAATTATTTCAAATATTGACATCTGATTTTACATATATAACAATTCTATTATCATTGTACAGACCTTCATACATGGCATTTCAGGAAAGTTCTTATTTTCATGCATGCAGGTCACATAATCAGATTGACAAATACTAACATTAGTTGCCCAATTCAACCTTTTTAGCCTAAAACTCTCTCTTGTAACTCACAAACAAGTGTTTGGAAGCAATTAAAGAGGAGTTTAAATCCTCATTGTTTTGTGATGGCTTAGCAATCGATATAGCAGGTAAATGTTTAACAGGACTGAAAAGACTTTTTCAGTCCAAACAAGACAGTGTAAGCAAGGTAATAAAATAGAAGGAGGTGGTTTGACAGCATTTGGAACAGGTGTGAGCCTCATTCCAGATATCCAGGATGCCCAAAAGATGCTAAAATGTTAAAAACTCTACCTTTCCCTATGCTGGTCCCTATCTACATGTCTTTTATCTGAACTATGACTGTTAGACTCGCAGTCTCCCAGTTCACCCAGAAATCCCCAAGTTGCTTAGCCGTACTCCTGAGGCACTCCAAGCCTTGTTTCCTTTTGAATGGGGTTGGGGAAGAACTTTAAACCAGGACTCCAACCTTTCCTCAGTTCAAGGAGGCCAGTTTAGTTCTCAAAGTGTTGATGTGCTTGTTGCAGTCCAGCCACACATCAAGAACAGCCCCTTTTTATTTTCTGCACGAATAACCATACACTGATTTTTGCTCAGTATCTTGAAAATTCTCATTATCCATGGAATTTTGTGTGGTAATACCCTGTGGAAAGCTGCTTGTCTGGCATGGCAGTACATGGACATTTAAGAATTGACTTATTTGAATGAAGAAGTTTGGAAGGCTGCTGTGAGGGTCAGACTCATCCATCTGACTCTCAGGTTCTGCTGAAGCTGCTTTATACTTCTTCACAAAAGCTTTAAAACTGCTGTGGGAAACCAGGAAACAGAATCAGAAGGGTCAGAGGCTGAACTACTCTCACTTCTAGGAACAGACAGGTCACCAGAGGGTTGTAGTTTATTGTTGGCATAGCGCTCTCAAGGGACTTGTACCACCACAGCCCACAGCACCACATTTTTAAGATTTCCAGAGATATCAGCACTGTGCTCTGTAAGAATCATAGAATCATAAATGGTTTTGGTTGGAAGGGACCTTAAAGATCATCCAGTTCCAACCCCCTGCTACAGGCAGGGACACCTTCCACTAGACCAGGTTCCTCAAGGGCCCGTCTAACCTGGCCGTGAACACTGCCAGGGATGGAGAATTCACAACTTCCTTGGACAGCCTGTTCCAGTGCCTCACCTGCTTTAAGATTCTTTTTTCTCTCTCCCATCCAGAGAAGAAAAAAAAACAAACCAACCCCCCAAAAACTCTAACTGTACTTTTCAATGTGATTTTGATTTTAAAATTGTAATGGGAAAGTTTAATAGCCAGTTTTAAAATGGCCAGCTGTTCCACATGGCAGTGAAAGCACACAATCACTTTTGCTGATGTCCAGAAACATTTCTATCCTCAGAAAAAGGACTCAGCGAATGAGATTTACTGACAAATATACAGGCATGTGTCTCAGAGCTGTGAATAAAGCAATTGTTGTGATGCAATTAGAATTTAACCTTGGCCAACCTCACAAACTTATTATGAAGCATAGTACAAAATTAATAACACAGACAACAGAGCTGAAGAGTATTACATGAATCTAAAGCAGATGGCTCTTCCCATTCCTTGCATAATTTCAACCAAAACAGAGTAGTCCAACCCCAGGACAAGCTGTCTGTTTGCACTCCTCTAACACCTTATATATTTTGATATGTCTATGGCGTAGTTTTGCTACAGAATCTAAGCAGGAATTCCTGTTTTTGACTTTTACAGTTAAGTTTTAAGACACAGAAGCTTAAGAAATTACACTGAAAACTGCATAGCTAATTGGATCACCTCTTCTCTACACTGATTCCTCTAACAAGGCAATTACTACCATAAATGTCAGACATTCTCAAAACAACTGAACATACTCTTAATGATGCCAGCAGTCTCAACAAATAGCTGTACCATGGTCATTTTGGAGTTGTCTACTACCCAGCATGTTACACTTACATCATAAAGAAAACAAAAAGAAACCCTCATAGGAAGTGATACCATTTACTTCCAGACAGTTACATATGTCAATATTAGCTTTGCTAGAGGGAAAAACAAATCCAAGAATGTTTTGGGGTTAAAGTGTGTTCTCTTTAGATACATTCCATTTCATATTGCACTGCCAGTTAAAAAATGAACTGGGAGACTTGATATGTGAAATCTGTTCTGCTGTTGGTAAGAAGGACGGTTCACATGGCCAAAACTGGTGCTGGTCAGGGGTGTTTGTTCAGCTAAGTGATTTGGGCAGACAGATATATGCTATTTATAAAAATATAAAAAATGAATGGCAAATCTTCATTTGGAGATAGCAGAGGGTACAAAAGATTCCTTTGTCTTTGATTAGCATTGTGATTTTTTTTGCTTATAGTAATAAATAAACTAAAAAAAAACCCCAAGAAACCAAACCAGATTAGGAGCATCTCAGGGCAGTCTGATTACTGCAATCATCTTTTCCTGTGCTAAGCTCTAGTTCCAAAATGGCACTGTTGATTTTCACAAATCTATCTATAAGTGTTGGTCTCTGAAATAGCTTTAGGAAGGCCAACATCTCATAAGTCTCAAAATTAGCCTGTTATAACTCCAACTCAATTATTGCTATCCTAAAATCCACAAATGCTTTGATCATAGTCTTTCTTCCTTCTTCCTTTGCCCTGAATACCTTGCTGATACGAAACTGCCTCTGCTGTGGAAGAAGGGGCAGGGACAGCTGGGGAAGCACATTGCTGCTTTAGCAATGGCCATCTGAAGATGCTGAAATAGGACACATTTTCAATGAATGACATTTTATCATCTTTTAGAACAAAGAAAAAATGCAAGCCTGGATTATATTCTGCTCTGTGTTCCTGTGCTATCATCCTTTTCAGAGCAAAATGTTTAGCACAGGCCATTGCAGTGGGCATACCAGAACAAGACTGACTGGAAAAAAAACCCTCAGGTTATCATAAACAACTGTTATTACAGTAGTGTCACTCTGAAAGGTGGGATTACACCTGTATCCCACTTGTTATGCAGATCTTTCATGTAATGCAGTGACCATGCACACAGGAAGTTCAATGTAATCAGCTGATTTGCTAGCAGCTACTCAAGATTTCTCCTGCGCAGCCTGTGCAGGCAGTGGCCCATGTCCAATAGCCTGTCAGTAATAAACTGGCACAAAACAAATCACTCACATGTCTCAACCATTCAGCCTGCTATAGGTTCGCCTGGTTACTAAAGTTTTTAATCAGTAGTAGTAGGCTCCAGTTAAGGATGTTTATTTAAGCAAAGAGGATTTCTCCTCAAAGTCACTTCTGCCTTGTCATTTCCAGAACCTCAGAGAGCTGTGGAAAGTAATATTAATATGCAAAAGGAAAGAATCTTTTTCAGTATACTATTTCTCAGTAAACTAGTGAAAGGCTGAACAATGCTGTTTTATTGCCAAAAAAATGTGCATGTCTTTCATGACACTAGTGTTAGAAGGACACAGTACGGGGGGGCTTACCAGCAACACCATGAATTGCATCATGTTAGCATAATGGTATATAAATTATTTCTTTCCTCTGTCAAGCTGGCAATTTAGTAAGATGTCACAAATATTCACAGACAGGCTTAGAGTCTTGAATCCCTTCTCTTACAGCCAAATATTCCCACCAAAACCCAATCTCTGAAGTAACGAGATGCTTTAGACCCTGGCTACACAGTGAAGCTCCCACCAGGAAACGCTAACTGGTGGTAGTAGCTGCCCTCAAAGTAGCAGAAGGGAAGGTAGGCAGCATACTATCTTCTACTTCCAGATCACAACTGAAACAGTAGACTCAGAAGTACTGTCCTGACCAAGGTCTGAAGCAGCATTTTAAGTGGGATGAGAATATGGTTTCAAAACCCTTTGGTCAAGGTCAACTTGCTTCTTAGTTCTTACTGCCACCTGTACAGGGGAGTGATAGGAACTGTTGGTGAGGACTTTGTGGATATTCATGGGAATGTGGTGTGGTGATGAGTGAGGGACCCAGAGCTGTGAGTTGGAGTGGTTTGGCTCAGGCAGTCACTCCCACAGGGGACTGCGTTAGCTGCGGTAGGGAGGCAGTAGTGGGGAGCTGGCGCTGAAGCAATTAAGCATGAGTCAGGTGGGAGAAATGGTCTGTTTTGATATTGTAACTATGCAGAGGCTGCTGTTTGTGAGGAGTTGTGTGTGCAGACTGCAAATAGTCTCTATCACAGTTGGAAATGTGGTGATTCATTGTGGTCACTGTGTTTCTACCACGACTTGTTTTCTTCCTTCCAAATTCCAGTACTCCTCCTTATTTCATTGGGCTTTTTGTTCTGTGTTTCTTCCTGGGCTTCAGCAGTCCATAGCAGACAGTCATGTCATCTTCCTTAGCCCCATAGACATGGCATGTGGAAGAAACTCAGTCCCCCCAGCATTGTTTGTTTCTCTTTTTCATCTGCTGAGCATCAGTAACCTGTATTTGGGTCCTCTATAGATAGCCTGTGATAGGCTTGCATGTCCTAGGAGGCTGCTTGTCTGTCACTGGACTCCTTCTCTTCCTCCTGCTAGGCAGATTGTGCATCTGTGGGTCAGAGAAGAATAATCAGGATTTGAAACAGGCTCAGAGAAAACTTGGAACATAAAACTTGGCAACATCACCCAGGCAATTGGTGCTGGAATCTGACTAACTCCATTCTCTCGGGCGCTCTGCCAGTCTCTGCTGTGGCCTTTGCATATTTTCAGACATAGACAAGTTAAAATACTAAAAAATATTTTGCAGTCTGCCACCATAAGCAGCTGAAAGACTGCGAAGCCCTTTATTCAGGACCTTTAAGCATGGTAAGTACAGCCTTCTTTTTTCTTTCTTTCCTCAATATCTGCAGAGAAGGCATTTCAGAGGTTCTGAACTCAGGCAAGTTCTTCTTCCCAGAAAAGGCAAGAAACTTATCTGGCATGCTTTCCAATAGTTGCCCCAAACACCTCCCTTCAGTAAGAAGTCTCACACAGAAAATCCAGCTATGTCTTTCCCCTGGAAACTGAATAGCTGTTCTTCAAATTTTCTTAAAATCCATCATAGCTTAAAATAAAATACTGGATGACTACAAATTACTTCTTTATCCAGCTGGCAAAGCCAAAATCTTTGACCAGCACTGACAGGAAAACAAGTGAGCAACTAGAAGAGCAGCTCTGGGGGCTGAAGAAACATTCCAAGCAAAGAAATATGAAAGCCAAATGTACAAATGGCCCAAAGTTTATATTACTGACTCAGTAATGCAGCCTCAACTGTAAACATACTGAGGAATTGACTGACTGATACCAGTGAATTAAATTAATTCAAATGCATGAATTCAGCTTATAAAATTAGCAGCAGCTTATCCCTGGCCATGGCTAGTGAGCTGTTACTGTATGCATTTATTATGACTGTAAGATAAAGGTTAACAGCACAGGGCTGCTATATCACTGGTGGAATAGAAGACATGATGGTCAAACAAACTGGAGTGCTTGGGAGGCATATAAAGCTGGTGAATATAACTGGCAGCCTTTTAAAGGGTTAAGAGCAGGGGGCATTTGTATTTACCGGATGGGTCTTGTACCTACTTAGGCAGCCACTAAAATAGTCTATCCTGCTCTTGAGATACTAACAGCCTGAATAATAAATGTGTCTCACTTACAAACCACTCTGTAATTTCACAGCAACTCCAGCTATCACCATCATGCTCACATTTCCCATCTTTCTGCAATGGAATGACCTCCTACTGCTAGTCAACCAACTCTACTGCCTGTCAACCAACACATGCTTTCATAGGCTGTTGCATTACCTCCTTCATCCCTTCCCTTAGAGTTCCCAGCTTTTAGTATTTTACCTGTTGAATGCAATATACTCTTTGCTTCTTCCTCCAGTCTCTTGTTCCTCCTTGTTGAGGTCCAGAGGTTTTGGCTCTGTAGAATGAGCCAGAAGGTGCAGAGAATCTGGTGCAGCTCTTGGAGAGGATGAAGCTGAAGTCTTCCAAGTCACATAGCTTTGTATTGCTGTGATTGATGCTTGGGTTGATATCTCATTTCTCCAGGCTCTCAGAAACTGGCAAATCCTGTGGCTGTCTTACTTTTTATGTTCAGTTTGTATCTGCTTGTGTATTTTGTTTGTTCCAGAGTACACTCAGGGAGCTGGGCTCAGTTTGGTGTAAAGTGCTTTTAGTAATGATTTCTCTTACAGAACAACAGAATATTCAACAGATCAACTATTCAACAGAAGTGGGTGACAACTAGCACTAGTACTGGGTTATACTGATATTTTAATGAGGATGCTGGCACCTACTTGCTTAGAGTTTTGTACTGTGAGATAAATAGTAAACGGATAGGTACAGAGGCAGTACACAAACAAACACAAAAAACACCAATGAGTTCTGACAAACAGACCTACCATGAAAACCAAAACCCATTTGTGACAATACTGCTAGAGTAAGACTGAGCTCTCAGCTTCATGCAACCTGCCAACCTTGCCAAAGTTTTACTCACACACCTGACCGAAAGAGAGCAGCAGCATGTTTTGCTGCCAGGCAGGAGAGCCCTGGAGGTGGAATCTGCCACTTAACCTGTTTAAAAAGTAATAAAAATTGTATAGATGGGTGTGAAACCTGCCCAAGATTTAATCTCTTTTGCATCTCCTGTTGCCCTTACAAATGAAATCTTAAACCTACACATTAATCAGTTTGAAAAACAGGTGAAAGAAGCAAATTAAGACATTAATTAGATGTGAAGTGACCTTACCTATTAAGGTATGAAATACAGCAGCTACAGCACCAGCCACAACCATGCACAAAACTGCTTTGATCCTGTCTCGCTTGCTGTTCACAAACACCAGACCTACATTTTTGAAGTCACTCATCGGACCCGTGAAGAACTTCATCAGGGAGTATGCCAGCCCATAGCTGGCCAGCATCTCCACAGCATCTTCCTTGACAGCAGCGATGCCCCGATTCAAGGCCTGTTGAAACACAGAAAGAGCAAATAATGTAGCACATGTGGAAGTGAACCCAAACCAATCTTCAGCAGCTGGTTTCTGAAGGACCAAGCAAGTTTAGCTCTCATCGTTTTCATCCTGAGTTGGACCTTATTTCTCTGGGTTCAACAGCAGTAGCTTGTGACTTGTGACACAGGCAACTTCATAATTTGATATGAACAGTAAATTCAAGTCAAGTAGACTTGAAGATAAGGTAAATATCTATTTGTGAAGTATATAATGGAACTCCTGCTATACCACAAGTCAGTGTCTCTCCTTTTTACAGTAATTTTATGACCTGCTAATAATCATGGATAGTACAAGACCATTTAAATTCCATTTTGAGGCCTCAGCCCTAAAGCAAACAAAGCACAGTCCTTGCAGGCCATCCTTACAGGTAAAAACTCTGACAGTATTATATGCTAAAATTTTAGCTCAATTCATTTTTTTCAGTGTAATGACCTTTTCATTATATCCCATGTAATTGTGGATAGCTGATATTATCCTGTGACATTTATTATGAAACTAGGCCAAATATGCATGTGCCTAATTGTTCTCCTTTCATGAATTTCGCAATGTTCCAATCCTATATTCATTTATATCTCCTTGTACCATATTTGAAAAGAAATACAGCCAGCACATATATTTCAAGACATTCAGATTCAACTAACCTACTAATTCATTCTAGGTCTGTATGTAGGAAATGTCTGCCAATGAATCACTGAGAATTAGAAGGATTATTTTTATAACTAAAGCGAACCATAGAAAAAAATGTGTAACATTGCTTTAAATTCCAGCTTGCACCAAAATGGTTCTAAAATATGGAGCAAAAATTACAGAATGATAACTTTTATCTTCATTGTGACAGCATCAGTCATCTGGTACACCCAGCAAACTGTTAAAACAAGACTAGGTTCAAAAAGCATGAAGGATGGAATACGACTTGTTGGATTTAGTTCCTATGAGTTATAGCTGATGCATGCTGACAGGGCCATGGCACTGAGGCCAACCTGGAACATCTCACCAACCCACCCTCCAAACTTCAGTCAATCCACTTACACAGCAGTTCTAATACTGCTTTTTCTGAATGAACAAACCAGGCAGAGTATCATCAGGTAATCATAATGAAGTTTTTCTCTTTTAAATATAAGCATAGTCTTTTTGTTGCAGTCTTCTGACTTTTTTTTTCCCCTTCCAAAGACCATGTAGGCAAGAAACTACCACTGACTTCAAAAGAAACCTCATCCCCGTAGCAAAAATGAGCATTTTTCCTACTGTTCTTTTCCACTATTTCTGTGAGGAGTGCTTAGTTTTTCCAACTAAAACTGCACTGTCAGAACAAGAAAGAGCTGTAGAAAATATCAATTTCTCCATCCTTGGTATCTGCAAAATCTCTCTCTTGCAATGTGCTTTGACTTGAACACCTGAAGCTCCAAATGTTTTCATTTGTGTCCCTCCAGGTCCCATCCTGAAAATACTATATAGAATCATAGAATCAATCATAGAATAATTAGGGTTGGAAAGGACCTTAAGATCATCTAGTTCCAACCCCCTGCCATGGGCAGGAACACCTCAGACTAAACCATGTCACTCAAAGCCTCGTCCAACCTGGTCTTCAACACTGCCAGGGATGGAGCATTCACAACCTCCCTGGGCAACCCATTCCAGTGCCTCACCACCCTAACAGAAAGAATTTCCTCCTTATATCCAATCTAAACTTCCCCTGTTTAAGTTTTAACCCGTTACCCCTTGTCCTGTCACTACAGTCCCTAATGAAGACTCTCTCCCCAGCATCCCTATAGGCCCCCCTTCAGATACTGGAAGGCTGCTATGAGGTCTCCACGCAGCCTTCTCTTCTCCAGGCTGAACAGCCCCAACTTTCTCAGCCTGTCTTCATACGGGAGGTGCTCCAGTCCCCTGATCACCCTCGTGGCCCTTCTCTGGACTTGTTCCAACAGTTCCATGTCCTTTTTATGTTGAGGACACCAGAACTGCACACAATACTCCAGGTGAGGTCTCCGAAGAGCAGAGTAAAGGGGCAGGATCACCTCCTTCGACCTGCTGGTCACGTTCCTTTTGATGCAGCCCAGGATACAGTTGGCCTTCTGGGCTGCAAGTACACACTGAAGCCGGCTCATGTTCATTTTCTCATCGACCAACACCCCCAAGTCCTTCTCTGCAGGGCTACTGTGAATCTCTTCTCAGCTCAACCTGTAGCTGTACCTGGGATTGCTCCGACCCAGGTGTAGGACCTTGCACTTGGCATGGTTAAACTTCATGAGGTTGGCATCAGCCCACCTTACAAGCATGTCAAGGTCCCTCTGGATGGCATTCCTTCCCTCCAGCGTATCAACTGAACCACACAGCTTGGTGTCATCGGCAAACTTGCTGAGGGCGCACTCAATCCCACTGTCCATGTCAGTGACAAAGATGTTGAACAAGACCGGTCCCAGCACCAATCCCTGAGGGACACCACTCGTTACGGAATATCTGCAGTCGGTACATGAACCTTTTCTGGGCTATAGATAATTCCATCTATTGCACTGATAAGAGTTAAAATTATATTTAATCTGTAGATGCCAAAAACACTAGAGTGTGCATAAAACTGTATGCAGTTTGTGAAAAAGACTGTGGCCTTTGAAATTAATAGTCAAGTTTAGCTGTCTTTTGTGATGATGCTTTTGATGATGTTGTAATCCATATCAAGGTGTGTACAGAGTTATAACCTTTTCATTTATATTTCCTATAGATGCTGAATCTCCCTTCAGCTGTCGCCAGTGATAGACAAATAGCCTTAGATTACACCATATAGAGGGCTTCTTGATCATGGCTTTCACCTCCTTTTTTGTCAACAGTGAAGTATTTCTGGCAGCTCCACTTTAGAGAGGAACAGCTAACCAATTTCAGGTAGTCTGGTTTAAAAGCCTTCTGTCACATGTAAACAGCTGAATTATTTCCAGCACAGTTTCACAAGCACAAACGCTTCCTTCCTGCTTCAGACAGCTACAGAATACCAAAGTATGTGGAGGATGGTAACCCAACTTCTGACAAGGTCCCTGGGATAAACATGGCTTTAAGAAATCACATTCTGTCAAGGAGCACTGTGATACCTCTGCAGAGAGACAGATCTTTACCAAGCACAGTACCCAAACCAGTGAAAACAGCTCTGTGTGACATGGGCTATCTTAAGTTTTTCCACCTAAGGAGGACAGGCAGAAAGACTTGAGCAGCTCTCCTTCTCTCCCTCTCTGGTTTTACAGGCTGAACTCTGATCTCTTTTGTATGAAGAAATGACAGCCAAGTAGATACTTCTGAGTAATCTTCCCCAGAGACACACTGTGTACCAGGTAAGGCAGACTGGCAAATTCCAAAAGGAACTTTCATAAGAGGTATGTTACCATTAATTTATACTCCTGTGGAATGGCTGACATGATGAAATACTCTAGAGGGTAGCCCTGAAAAAGCAATCCTACCAAATGCTTCTTTGGAAAGATTCTTAGGAAATGAATTGTTAGTAAGGCTGCGTACAGATGATTTAGCTTCTGTAGCTTTTTTTTTGCTTTTTCAGTTTAAGATGACAACGCAGAAGGTTCTTCATCCTCATCTTCCAAACACTATATATGAATTTTAGTAGCTTTTCTACCCATGTACCTTAGAATATTTTCACTACTGAAGCTTCTGATGTCATATCTGATATCCTTAAATACACAAGAAATCCCAAATACTTCATAAAGCATCTTAAGTGCAGTATGAAAGACAGAGGCACTTCATCTTTCATGGCATGTCAGCCATGAAGTTGGTAATCTAATCTCCTGTTAAGTTTAATTTCCTTTTATATTTTCAATTAAATCTCTCACAAAGTAAGAAGAATATAAACCAGGGCAAGGTCTCAATTTTTTTATGGGACACTATTTTGTACACTTTTTGTGTGAACAAAAATCAATAAAATTTCATCAGTAGCATCCGTATTCCACGTTCGTTTCATACACAACAGAACATATCTCTAGAAAGATTTGTATAGCTTGTCAATAAAATCACACAGAACTAGGTAGTAATAAAAACAACTATTTAATAGAAGAAGTTAGCTTGATCATACATATTTCAGATGTCATCCTACTTTCAGATGGCTTATTCACATCAAACTTGAAGGGAAAACTAAGAAATCCAGATGCTGGAAGAAAAGACTGTTGGTGATGGTACCTTCTCC